ACAGCTATCAACATATGACCCATGCGAAAATCGCTTGTAGTCGAGTTTCCATCGAATCTATGGATATTATAATTGTGCAAGTCAAACTCTGAGTTAGCAATACCTTCGCATAACCAAGTTTCAACAAGTACAATTATCATATATGGCTCTGACGAAGAAGCCTCAACGTGTTAAGTTTAGATCTTAAACCTCTACTTGAAATGCTGGAAATTTCCGACTTTATTTAAGTTTGCCATCGGCAATAATGTTCAAGATCATTCTCTCGTGAATCTCAGGCGGATAAAATGCTTTCTAACTTCTAACTGAAGATTTCATAAAAACTGTTCAGGAGCTGAACGTTGCTGACGTTGCTGAGATCCAGCGAGAGAAAGAAACTCTGAGTTAGCAATACCTTCGCATAACCAAGTTTCAACAAGTACAATTATCATATATGGCTCTGACGAAGAAGCCTCAACGTGTTAAGTTTAGATCTTAAACCTCTACTTGAAATGCTGGAAATTTCCGACTTTATTTAAGTTTGCCATCGGCAATAATGTTCAAGATCATTCTCTCGTGAATCTCAGGCGGATAAAATGCTTTCTAACTTCTAACTGAAGATTTCATAAAAACTGTTCAGGAGCTGAACGTTGCTGAGATCCAGCGAGAGAAAGAGAGAGAGAGAGAGAGAGAGAGAATTTGAATCGACAGGCGATTTGCAATCTAAAAATTGATCATCGTGCTACCGGTGACCAGTCCTGGCAACTATAACGAGACGCACTGCCACAAGAAACCCAAGTCACTGAATCAACATTTTTGTAATACATCTCTTACAAATGATCATAGTATCCAAGCGTATCCAAGATGCAGTAATATAACAGATATAATATAATATAATATAATACGATAAGTAGAAGTATGTAGAGAAACATAAAAACTAAAAAAATATCGCAGACTCGAATCGAAAGACGAATGACACTCTCGGCGAATGATCGAAAACTTGTTATATATATATAATTAAAATATAGTAGATCTCCGTTTGTATGAACTCGATTTATTTGAAAGGAATTTTAATCAGTGGCTGGTTAAACGAACTATGTATTCTATTATATCAATTCCAATTACATATCTGCAATTATAAACTATTTGTCCCCCGACAAATTCATATAAACGAAATTCTATTACGAGGTATTGAATTTCAAATGAAAAGTGAACAATTTTTCTTTCAGATATGCATCAAGACCCACTAGCTTCGGTATCGCAGCAACAAGAAGCGCAACATCCTCACCCTATGCATCACGCAAACTCCCCGTCGAACCTGCAGCAACACAGTCCCCAAACCGCTCAACAGAAACACCAGCACTCCCCTCATCTACTAGATCATTCGACGCCTCCGTCAAACCTGCCACAACCGCAGCCGCAACCACAGACACAAGCTCAACAGCAGCAAGCACCACCGCAGCAGCAGCAACAACACAGTCCCCAAAGTAGCCAACAGAACAGACCTTACTCCACCTCGTCGAGTTCCTGTTGCAGCACAGACGCCATGGATACTCATTTACCGAATGCTCTGAGCGTATACTCCGTACCGCACAGTTATCATCCTTACTATCATCACTATATGCCTGACTCGGCGCCATCTAATTTAAACGAAGTCGGTGGCGTGATCATGCACCCTAATTGCAGTCTCAACAACGAGACTCACAATGCAACCGCGAGTACCAGTGCTTCCAGCAATGTTCAACATTATGAATCTTCGTACCAACCCCATTTGAGTCACTATAATACTAACAATAATCCCGCGAAGCATTCCTATCATCATCAAGAAGCAACGCCAGCCAGTTACACCAGTGTGATCGTAGACTCGCAGCAATATAGTCCAAGCTCAGTGCAAGACCTGATTCACTATCAGCATCATTACGAAGCACATCATCAGTTCGTTCACTGACACGAACTAGACGCGGCTTGCGCATAGCACGTCGATACCAACTGTAACAACGAGTCGTGCTATTGTGATACGTTCTCTAGTGGGACAAACAACGATTTCCTGCAAGAACGCTCGAATATCGATAATTCGAGGATAATGGTGAACGATGAACGCGAACAGATTGTTCAATGGAAGGCTAAGATTTGGTGCGTTCGACCATCGGAAATATGGAAGATTATTTCGGGCGGAGGATACAGTGAAAAATCGTGAAAAACTCCAAGTGAAATCAGCATGTCGAGTGAATCACGAGGAAATATATAGTAGAAATATTGGGAATATTAAAAATGTCGCTGAATATACTGCCGAATTTGCGTAAGACTCTAACGAGAATAGCTGTACAGTTGATATATTTAAGAAGATGATAATTTAAGGATTTGCGATCCCGGAGGTTTACTATATCGTATTGTAGCATATTGAGTGACGATCTGTTGTGAAATTCGCTGGTCATTAGGTCTGTTATACTTTATTCACATATCACTTAAGCTTCTTGTTTGAAGAATATGCACCTTGTGGCAATTACGTTGAATAATTGCTTCGAGATTAATATAAGTTAAGCTTCGGATATTCTATAGCGGGTGGTTACGTTCGTGTGGCAAATGCGATTTTCATTTTGTAAGAATTGTAAGAACACCTCTTAACATATTCATCTCTTTCTCTTCCACCATTTAAGCGTTTATTTAGACGTAAACCAATCTAATCGTTTGATCGCTAATGACGTTCGTCAACATTAGCTAAGATAACGATTTCGATCGTGTATTTAACGAAGATTTCGATTCAAATGCTAATGAGATTTTTAATCGAACGGATTTATCGTAGAAAAAGCAGACGGATTTGAATCGACGATTCGAGAAAATGTTCGAATCAGCCAAATTCGAGATAACATTAACGGTCGAAAAAATTCAATCTAAGATGAAATTAAAATAACGGAAAAAGAAAAGAATTTCTGCGAATTACACGCTGGACGTGAACAGCTAAAATTCTTCTCAAACTCGAGATGCCTGAGGTGGGAAATAACGCGATCGTGTCTACGATGGACGAGTGATTTTATACGATTTAATTGCACGAAATGTTCTGTAAAAGTACTAACCCTAGCATTTATTCGCCAATAAGAAATTACAAGCGTGTAACTGTACATAAGGTGAAAAGTGAGGAGATCGGAGGAGATCCGAACGAATAGCGCGAGATACATACTTAATTTGTAGACATGTACATTACATAGTCGTTCATAGCTGGTCGAAACTCTTATATATAAATACAGTAGATATTTCTTAGGTAGACCCGAAGACTGACCGGTGTTTGTACCAACCGACCAAAGAAACACACCCTCCTTCGTATTAGAAGAGAAAACAAAGGTACAAATATCACCGTTGTTATATCTTAAACCGCATTTATTTAAATATCGCGCGCATCTCCAAAACCCAATACTTAACAAATATGACCATAGAGTATTCTGGCGATCCCAGTTACATCTTAATCATCGAAGTATTTTATTATCGAACTTCCATACTATAGTAACCTTAGGAGTTGCTCGAGGCCGCCACGTTAGCACCACGAGACTAAATCACATGTATAATACACGTGTACACATTGCCAATTGCGAGCTACTATTATTTATAATCGATGTAAATTAAAGAATCGAAGGTACTGTTTGGTAGTTGGGGTGATGATCACCGTGTTGTACGATACGTTACTATTGTAACCGTTGTAAATATTGTAAAAGTGATAGCGCGCGCGCTGCATACCTATTGCGAGAAAAATATAATCGATATTTTCCTCTGATGATCTATCTTATTGCTGTTCTTTTTCTCTTATTTTCTTTTCGTACATAGATCCTCCTCTTTCAATCGATATATTTGTATTTAAATCTGCGTTTAAATCTATTTCAACGTATAAAAACTTCAAATTTTGTTCTCTCTCGTCACGATTGGAATTATTGTATCTCGAAAGTAACGAGCAATTGAAATAAATCAATAAACGAATCGAGCTATTCTTGAAGCGAATTATTCGATGTTAGTAAGATGATAGAAGTGTTCCTGTTTTTCTTTTTTTTCAATTGATTAAAAACACATTATCGAATGCATTGAATAAATTCATTACACGAAACTATTGGAATAAATCGTCGTTTTTTCGAATTATTTGATATTTTATCGATGACGAAGTTTCCCCTTTACCGTGGGAATTTCCCATGATGCTCAATCCTGTTCCCTAAGGTACCCGTGAAAGACAAATAACATAATGGACATGGTGACATGTTTCTCCTTTTCACTGAATTTCCAAAAATTAAGCCAAAACATGTGGACACCCCATGGATATCCCATGAAATATCTTAAACAAATGATTCGCATTTATCTTGGATTCAAGATTATAATTCTTCTTCTTTCATTTATAATTCAGGGATAAAAGATATTTCCTGACGTTTAGAAAAAGGAGATTATGTATCCCAATGGTAATTTTCAAAATACAAAAAGATAAAACTATAAGATTACTAAAAATTAAAATAAATAAAGACGGTATTAAGAGAGAGTGACGAAAGCTAATATTAAATTGTAAAAACTGCGACAATAAAAATGTGAAACTATAAAAGAAAGTCTTTAAAGAGACGTACGAAGAACGTTGCGAGAATTTGTTCACCAAAGTTAAATATTTTATAATTTTATACAATTTTTTATGAAATCCTACAATTTATACCATGGAGGAAAACTCGGTATTCTGAAGAGGTCGTTGATTATCCCACGACAAAGGCGAAGGATCGGCTGGCAGCATCCGTTCCCGGATCCCCCCGAATGAAATAGAAGAAAACAACGATCCTGTTTTTCTCCGGCGTTCGCCCGATTGTCACTACACCGGCACGAACAATAAATTAATTGTGCCGTGTACGATTCTTGGGTTAGCTTTCGGTGGTCGCGTGCTTGTCTGCATGGGGTCGCTCATGAAGGGAGGCACGTGCCTCTTTATAATCGCCGTCAGTCTCGGCTCCGCTATTAGAGTCTAAAAAGACAGGTTTCACGGGAGGAGTCACTAATTTTTCTATTCGAGAACAGAATCACACTGTGTTCGTGCGATTCGAAAGTCGACTTGGCACTGTGAGAACCGGAGAAATTAAGAAATCTCTTTTGAAGCGTATTCGAAACTTCAATTCTGTAAGGACCGTGGATATAAAAAATTTTAAGCAAAATATCGAGAAATTTATCCTCGTCCGAAGGAAGCATCAACAAATCAAACAATTAATCAACTAAAAATATTACGTTTCTAATAAAATTACAATTAACTTGGAAGAATCCAATGACGAAACCTCAGACTGTCGATTTACGCCACTTTCGATAACTCTAAATCTACACATATTGGAACAACTGCTGATATTTGATATAAATTGAATACTTTTCTCCGTTCTTAAATACTAATTACTTTTGTTACGAATCTACGTATCGATCGAAACGTAACATCCATTTCATGTCACATGGATCGTAGATCCAAAAAGAACAACAGGATTAACCAAAGTAAAACTTGTTAGTCTTTTCCAACGAATGTAACGAGTAGGTATCGCGATACTTAGAAACATCGATGTATCTCGTAACCAAGTGATTGCTTCCCAGATATCAATCAACAACCTGCACGTCATCGTACGTTACACGAAATCCACCCTTCCATGAAAATGATCGTATCGGGTGTTCGAGCAGATCGGGTGAGCGATCGGTGGCATTTACACGATTCTGGTTCGACATGCGTGGACAGGTCCATGAATATACATCAGCCGTGAGATTGGTGTAACAAGGACACAATGATTAAGGGTGTTCGCGTTTACAAGGGCCGCTATTATCGAACGTGTGCGATTGGAACGACGATCGCACCGAAGGAGGGCGAGCCGCGTGCGCCTCGTTAAATTCTTCGGCCAGCGAATCTGACGCAGTCACGATCCTGTGAAATTGCGCGATCACCCGTCGCGGACGCGACCCATTCCCGACAGCGACGTCCCGACGCTGACCGCGATTAAGCCGACGACCAGAGAAAGGAAGGTCGAAGGCGCCTTAATTTGACGAGAATCGAGAGACGTGTGATCGACATCGGCTACATGATCGTGAAAATCGGACTTCCTTATTCGACGTGTCGGGAACGTTTGAAACGTAACAATGAATAAAATGATGGTAATTTAAGTAGATCGATCAAATCTTTGCAGGATTATCTCGAACGAAGGGAGCGGTTTTTTTGTAGCTAATCGTTTTTGCAACGATAGAAAGATTAATGGATCTACTTGAGATAATTTATAGGATTTTTTAAATAGGTGACACGCGATGCGAAGAATATTCGTTTTGTTTTTTCTTTTCTTTTTTTCTTTTTTTTTATGTAGTACAAAGTCAAGATATCTGACAAGATGGTGGGATAAGAAGATTACGTATTTAATTGGACAGAGAATAAAAATCTAGGTTCGTGCGAAACAGATGGAAATTGAAGATTCAATGATCGATTATACAGACATTGAAGACAGATTTCGAACGGATTACGTTTTCAACGACACGTGCAACGAGTCTTGTTATGTTTCGCTGGAAAACGAAAGAAAATATTGCACGTGGCGATCGAATGCACGAAGAATAACATATGTCTCGTGACATGGTTTACGAGCGACACGACGAAACTGACCATAATCCAGTCCGATTAGGAGCATAAACGCGGATCCACGGGGTGCGGTTAAACTAAACACTCGACAAGTTGCGTGTTCCGATGAAAGCACTTATATAGGTATATCGAAATACAGAGGGTGTGATATTCCCTTATTATTAAGGGGGGGAGCTTTAGCAGTATACTCCGCTATAATCTTTATTTCAATCTCCGCCCTAAACAAAGACCATAAAGATATAGTTCAATTCAAGAAATTATTTCGAAAATAAATTCTACATCGATTTAACTCAGCGAAAAGCTGCATACTACGTTATTATAGATCCTTCTAGAAACGAAACTATAATCTAAATTTTGTTATAGCGGCCATTATGGAATCCGACAGGTTCTCGACGATACCTTAGGACAAACTCGCGCAGACTGAAATATTTCCCAAAGTATGGTAGCTGATCTCTGTGGTAGTATGCCACCGGTTAAGGATAGTTTCCATGCACGCATAGTCGACAGGAGATGCGTGTAACGCATACAAGGAAAAACGGACCGTGAGCGCGCCTTGTAAATCTGGCATGTAGCTAAGACCAGATGGCGCTTTCGCGGATACTCGTATACATATAGAAACACGCAGTATACGCGCGAAACACACGCACACATAGATAGATAGCAGAGCGTACGTACACGGGGGCGGTTGGGCCTGTGCGCAATCAAGGCGAAGGGGTGCTTTAGCAGAATCGCCCCACGGTTACCAAGGCGACGGCACGTAACGCCGCCCACAACCCTCAGGCTGTCTTGTCCGATGTGTTTGCTCGATGATTTTATACCAATTACGGCCTATCCCCATGCTATTGCCTACTCCCCGTAGCATCGTCTGTATCCCAACCTACATCCTCATCGCCACCCACATCGACGTTGTTGCGTATATCGGTCGGAAGGTGTTCCACTTCCGCTCTAAAAAGAGATACGCAAGTAACTACCTGATGCAATCACTTACATACATGGAGTCGTAGATGTTCGCGGTTAACATGCACCTGCGACCGTCTCGCGACGCATCCTGTAGAATTCGTAGAATTTCTGCTTAGATGGTAAACATCCTGGAACCTTCGATAATTTATTTTTGGTTCTTCTAAACTTTTGTTTTTCGCTCTTAAAAACATTTGTTTCGTTCTAAATGACGTTGAGATGTCAACAATATGAGTCACTGTTGTTAAATGTCAAACCTGACTACTTTAGTGCCCCCTGGTTGTCGATACAGATTTTATTAATCGATTCTTTTCGCGATTCGAGTGGGAGTTAAGTATGTATCGGTAGGCCTCGAGGGATCGGAATACCGGAGTGGTGTTCAATTTCTGAGGTGATACCGGATCGCAAGGGAATAATTACCGGGACACACACGTTGCACGAGAGTTAAGTGGACATTAATGGAAATGCACGGTAAGAGGATTACGTGTGATTGGATGATAAATATAATGTATAATTTATTGATGAAATTCGATCCTAAATTGGAAGATATGTAATGCTTTTTGTATAACATCGAATTTAATGGAGTCACGTGCGATATTTTTCCATGATTTTGTAAACATACAATCGAAAATATTAATTCGCTAAGGGAAAGCACTTAATAGTTTTTTATGTACTTGTTAAAATGAATAATGTCAGATTTGGATTACTTTCGATTAAAAATTACAGATGTAAAATGGCAATGAATAGACAAAATAAGGAACGCAACAGTGTTTATTATGATTATTACACGTTACGAACATAATACACGCTATTTTATGTAAAGGATCTTTGGAATTCAATCACTAATAACTACGTACTAGAAACGAAAAATAAACGACTGAAAGAAGAAAAAGACGAAAGCGAAATATTGGAGAAATGTAAACAATTCTAGTAATAATTTAAATTGAATTATGCGATACATTGCGATAGATTATATTTACATCTATTCTGATTTTTAATTCTTATCATCGTGAGCAAATTCCCTGAGTGACTAATGCGTATAGCGTAATCTATCGGTAATCGAATGTACTATTTCGAGATAGCTGAATTTTTAGCGAGACGTTATCATTTATAGATAAAAAAATTTATAGATAACTCTATACGTTTACACATCGTTCGTATTATTTTCCATTAACTATTCCATACTTCATAAAAAATACGTTTCTACTTCTAATTTGATCATCTTATAACAAAAGAGATATTATATATAGTTAAATATATATACACATAAATGAATTTTATGGCAGATGATAATTAAATTCAAATGTAACAGAACAACACCTCTGTCAACATTCGTAGACATTCGTACTTAACATTCGATACAAGAGTATAATTAATTAATAACATCAAATTAATCCATCTTTTGTATTTTCCAAAGTCACGCACTCGATGAATTGTTTATACTTATGGTTTTATGTCAAAATTTTGACCGTGCCTCGAGATAAGTGCCAGATTGATCCCTCTTCATTCTGTAATCATCGTCAATGTTTTCGGAACCGCTATACATCGAAAATCCTCGACGCGATAGCAATTCTCCTGGCACAATCGTAGGATTCGTGTAACAATAGTCCGCTATCATGTTCTGTCTGTTCGGATGATTGAACCTGAACAATTTTTGTCAATTTAATAACATAAATATTGCTGGGTGCGAAAAAATATAATATAAAAGTAATTATAATTTTATTCGACAGATATTTCAAATATAGTTTAGAAGCAAGTATACTTTAGAAAGTCGGGAAAATAATTATAAAAAAAGAAATCTGGTCGCGTGCAAGACGTTTTAATTCCCGTATCCATTTCACATTCTTTTACCAAGATAAGCTAAACAATCGTGTCGCGCGCAGCAAAGATACGATATCAATGCCGTACTGAGTCACGAATTAATATTTCTTTTCGCTCGCACGTCTCCGTAAAACCGCGATTCGCCAATCATATTTGAACGTTTAGAATCTTACGTAAATCTTACATGATTTATTCGGATTCCTAGTTCGTCGAGAACGTGGCCCGTCCCAAAAAAACGAAACGTTGGCTATGTCACTAAATATCCATCGAGTTCAATCAGAAAACCCGTTCAATTAAAATACATTTAGTTTATATTATTCAACGAGCAAAGCCTGCTGTACATTTAGTTTAGTTCTTTTTTCTTTTTTCCATTTAAGCAAAGCTCGACAGCGTTTAAATACAAAAAATTAAAAGCAGAAATCGGGAATGGATTTTGCACACACCAGCGAAGAGAAAGAAAGTGCTACATTTCGCAGGAAAGTACTCACCCATCTTTCGATAATCGATTCACTTTGACAAACAGTACGAACACTAAAACGAAGAGCAGCAACAGAGCACCACCAACAATACCGGCTGCTATAGCAAAATACAGCAACAAGTCATCGGTTCCCTGGAAAATCGAACATCTAACTTTAGATCTATACTGATAAGAAATTTCGTCATTTCGACAACGGTATCTATTTTGAAAAATTCCCAAGTATCGCTTTTAGTAGTTTATCTAGTAATATGATCGTTTGCTTTAAAGGGAAAATTTCTGAAAACAGTAGCCAACCGAATGAACGATCGACCGAACGTATAACGAATTCCTCTTTACGTGAAAGACTCTCGCGATTCGAAATGTGCCAATAGAGCGAGGGCGTAACAAAGATGGACATAGTGAGAATGCAAGAATGTGAAAGAATCTTTGTCACGCACGGTTGCTTTGCACTTCCTCGAGGCGTTATTTCGCAACCTGCGTTTAACGCGTCAGATGTCAAGACGCCATAAAACTTGATAAACATATTGGATGCAAACAGGAAGTTTATGAATCGCGGATACGTTCCGCCATATGAAACGTTCGAGGCGGCATGAATGAAGTGATGCATATGCTGTCACCGAATGGTATTATTCTACGCTGAATACAGTAGAATTGTAAATGTTCGCAGTGAATCACTTTCATCGCATAATTCCAGTGATTCTTCTTGCGCCAGTTCAACCTTGAAGATACATAGTTGCATCTCTAATAGGGAACCGCTCGAGTGGTTGTAATTAGTATTACAAAACAAGCTTTATTACAAGTCCGTGATTAGCCTTGTTTCATGTGAAATTTCACGGAGCGTTAATGCATAGGTGATAAGGAACAATGATTGTTTAATTTAATTAGCTATCTATGAACACAAAGTCATATTAAACAGTACTTTATCGTCCCATCGAAATGATACCTAATCACGGAACAATTACTCGGAATGAGTCGGTAAATGAGCAGTCTTCTAATCATTGTAATCGTAAGACGAGCTGTAACCTTGATATATATGTATACTTGTATTAAAATGAAACTATGTCGCACGGTTTGTACATATTAGCTGAAACACGATTTTTGGGCAGAGCCCGTGACATTCTGACCTTAGGATTGTTATAGAAATAATCCATAGGAAAAGTAGAATTACGTGTACTTACCATGGTAAATATATTATAAACGGAGTAAAAGTGACACGGGATCTGTCTGGAGACAATACTGGACTGGCGCACACACAATCAAGATATACGATATCAACGCGTTATCGTGATCGATGCGATATCTGCGAAAATCTGGTGGTATTGTAAAATTCTCTTTCGGCGAAATCCTTTGCTGTTCGTACAAGATTTTTAAAAATATTATGTACAAGAGGGTACAACACAGTAGAGAAGGCAAAACTCAATGTCACCGATTATTTTTTCGCGAAACACAGCTAACGAGCCATAATTGTTCACGAAAAGCATGTTCAAAACGAAGAATGAATTTCTCGTGGTAAAAATCGGACGGCGTCATGGTGAAAACATGGAAGAGATAGCAGGATAATAACACAGTTGAAACTTTCAATTACAAGATGGATTGCTTCACTAAGCCACGGACTTTTCTTAACGCCGACGCAAAACTCTATCGTTGCTCGATAGAGAAAAGGTATGTAGCTAGGTAAATAAACACTAATATACGATCGCGAACGAATACGAGAGTGAAGTAAAGTGTGTAACAGAGCCAGCAAAGCAATGCTGAATGCTGATAAACCCCTCCAGCCTACGGAAGGTGTACGTGTACACACGTGTGCGCGCGGCTGACTTTGCAAGGGCATCCGTGTCTTCCGCGTCTTCCTCTCAAGTCCCTACGTATTACAGCACGCACGTATTTACGTGGGTATCGTTCAATTTTTACATCGCAATCAAACGTCGATCTACCTCTGGAGACACGTAACACAAAAGACCGGCATACGTGAACAATGATCGTTTACTGAATACACCTGTCTGTGGAAACAACTATGTAAACATTATGGACGCAACTAACCCTTTCTAACACATTTGCAACCGACAACTTCACCGATCTCACGATAAAATGCTACAAGCTTTTAAAGATAAACATAAGAATTTGAAGTTCCCTTTTAAACATTATACATTATATTATTCATTACTATTAATTGAAATAATTACAGGAAATTTCCTTTTTTCAGAATCATTGCTAATTGATTTTCTTAAGCTTGCAGTAACCATAAGAAGAAATAGTAATACGTAAGCGGTTGTTAATGTGTTATTATATATAAGATTTTCCTGTTTTGGTATTTTATGTTTCATCTTCAATATTTAACAATAACTATGAAAATTATTTTCCTGTTGATTTCTAAATTAGGTTGAATTGTTTGAACAGTCCTTTGTTATGATATAAAAAGATCATGTGTTTAAAAATAATTTTTATTTTCATTCTTTTTAATCAGGTAATCAAGATATTTTCATATGTACACTGATTGTTATTTTTTAAAAATGTTTACAAATATTTATTTGTAATGAATGCAATTAAAGAATATATGACTTATTAAAAAAATATATGTCCATATTATTAATATAAAAATGAGATTACGTGTCCATTTATATGTACATACATACAGTTAGTCAACTATTTTACAATATCTATACAATATCAATTAATGTTTCATTATCCAGAGACTTAGATTCATGCACAGATGATACCATTAACCACTGCAGCATATGAGGAAGCATCATACTCATACTTAAGTATAGATAATATGGAATGGGTTGCGTAGAACCAATAGGACAAAACCATAAGCCTCTTCTCGTACCATCTCTTATATGATGACTTAAAAAACTTGCCAATATTATCCATGAATAGTAGCCGAGCTTTGGATAATTAAATACACTTGCGTAGAAACTTAGCATAATCCATATCGTTATAGGAAGAGTGGTGCAATGAAAAAATGGTCGTTTTTCTAAATGTGTAGCATCCTGTAAAAAGAAATAACAAAATTTAAATCTCAAATGTCATTGTCACAAATTACAAAAGGTTATGATGTTGCTTACACTTAACTTCCAACTGCATGCTGCGATAAAATGATCTACATCAATAAAAGACGACAAACAGAAGCTCCAGAAAATACTCGAAAAATTTTGGGCAAGAGACTTCTTTGACAAATTTAAGATAACTGCCCAAGTAAGCCCACCGACAATTGCGTGAGTGACATTGTCAAAAATCGCGCGTGTTGCAGCAGTCTTTCCATGTTTTAAACCTTGATCACCAATGAACGAACAGATGCCTATAGCACCAGTCAGCACTACCCGTGAAAAAGTTTCTCTTTTTCCAAGAAACATTACAACAAGACTCTTAAAAATGATGTTAAATTCCTTTTTATTAAATCCTTTGTTTGAAAAGTGACGCGAAAATTACGGTGTAAATATTATCTCGCCATTTTGAATGCAATCAATGCTTCGATATAGTACATACACGATACACGTATAAGTACAATATCTCTCATTATACTATATTTCGACTAAATTTCTAGTTAACGAATCTAACATATTTCAAAATAAAGTTTATATTAATCAAACGGTTGCACTGATTTCGTTTATAATTCTTTATTATATATTGTCTGATGCTTTATTTTATGATTACTTAAATTTTATCTTGAGGTAACAATTTTTTAAATGATATCGGATATGGGTCCATGCGAGATACTTCTTTGACTGGGGTGACATCGATCGAAATAAACTACACTAACATTCGAACTTTACTATCGAAAGTACGCTAATTTCGTAAATTGTGTTCTAGTGAAACAAAGTAAAAGAATACGATCATTTTCACTGGCATTACACGCTACATTCACTTATCACAATGGTAAATGATCATTTCTATCTGAATTAAAAATTGTTTCGAATATATGTTGTTTTGAAAATCGTGTACATATATCATATGGCATTTGTTCTGAACGAGTGTCATAACGGTTTAATTCATCGAGGTGTCGCGTGGTTTGTTAAGCACGTGTTGCCGGAATTTCCTTAAACTATTTAATAAATAATAGTTGCAGGGTATCGTAAAGTAGTTGTATAAAGATAAGTCGGTAATAAAAATGTCGAATTTCAAGGTAATACTGATTCTACACGACTTCTTTAATAGTGATGGCGGCTCGATGTTTTTGTAGTGCTGTTGATTCAAATTGTTTGATTATCGCGTGTATACTTGAATTTACGAATATGATATCAATTTTAATATTCATTGTTTTTGAAATATTTATTTCAGCCACCTGATTCTAAAAGAGAGGAATTCAGAAAATATCTGGAAAGAGCAGGCGTTATGGATGCTCTTACAAAGGTGCTTGTGTCTTTATACGAAGAACCAGAAAAACCTGATGATGCTTTAGAGTATCCTTTTAATATATGAGTGGTTGAATAGGTTTATGTCATGAAAAAACCAGTAGTTACCTGTATGTTTGATGTGCAATATATTTCCTGAATTGTATTGTAGATACATTCGTCAAAATTTAGGAGGTATCACGGAAGTCGACATTGAAGTACAAACATTAAAGAAAGAACTGGAAGAAGCTAAGGCCAAGATCACAGAGTTAAAGGCAAAATTGGTGAAATACGAAGCAGACGAAGGAGCAGAATAATTTAACTACAAAGTTTTAGACAATAATAGAATACTAGTCCGTGCTGGACACTGACTTTCACAGAAAGTCAGACTGACTATGTGCCTTAAAATAGATATAGAAAATCACTTTCTAAGACAATTTAAAACATAAGATAAATTAAGTTTGACTCTTGCAAATTCCATTAGTCATAAGTCTATTTCTTAATCATGTTCATAAAAGTATATAGTGATACTTTTTATATTTCTTTTTTAACTAAATTAAACGTGATTACATAGAACGTAGTTCATAATCAAAGTATACAAGCAGGATGATAAATTAGAAAGTAATGTTCAAATTAAATTTTGATTTATGTGATATTTCAAATAATAAACATAATGTATTATTTTGTTTTTTTATAAAAGTTGTATATTTTGTTGCAAAAGTATTAAAATATAAATTTAATTAAGTTTAATATAATAAATATGGTAATAGATCTTTCTGTAAGTACACAAAACAACATTATTAAGTTAGAATTCAGATGTATTTGTGACAATATACATAAATATTGGTGTATCTAGCTTATAACCTAAATGTGTAGTATTTGAGTCCTTTATTCCATTGACAGTTTCCAACAGTACTTTTTATTCCCAGGCTCTTTACATTTGACAATGTAAGTAACCTTAAAAAAAAAGAAACGAAGAAAGGAGAATTAAGAATATTATATATTATTAAAAAGTATACAATATATATATATATATAATATATAAAATATACATATATAATAAATAATAACACATGTGATTTCATTCGATATTTATTTCATCTGTATAATTACCCTTGGAGTTTTAGGCATTTGTCGCGTGCAAATTGAATTTATTAAAAAAAGACAGCCTTCATGTCGGTTTAGCAGCTTGCCTGCGTTTTACTTCCCAATTATAAATACGTGCCATATTAACTTCTGTTGTAGTAAATTGATCTCTTACAAAATCCAAATCATGTTCAACATAACCTAGATTTCTCTTTGCTGCTTCAATATTTTTTGTTAACATCTCTTGAGCATCATCTAAAGTATATTCTAACATAACATTAGCTCCTAACCACAAGCACACTTTATCAGTAGGAGGAATAACAGCCTTTGCATAAACTTGTTCCGATAATAAAAATTGTGTCTCTAATTCTTTGCTCTTGTTCTTCTCTTGCTGCAATTTTTTAATCATTTCTAATGATCGCTCTAGATCTGGAATCTGAGCTTTCAGACGTCTTCTTTTATTGAATAAATTATATTCCATAAATTTATATTTCCCATGGTTCTCGTCCAACATCTGCAGTACTTTGTCTGCCGATTCATTTTCAGGTCTTGCCATAAAAGCGTCGACATCGTCCTACGTTTAAAATATTTTACATGAAATAAAAATACGTGTATTTTTCGATTTCAAACATCGTGTCTTTTTTGTGACCATATACGGTTAGCGTACCGAGAAAGTGTGTATATCCCATGTATTTTTATAGATTATGCAAATGAGCAAAGATTCATTTAACAAATAGAGAGATTAAAAAATGTTTATTGCTGTTTTTTTTTATGAAAATTTCATAGAATTTACTTTATAGAATTTCATAAAAATGATTAATAGCCATGAGGATTACTTCTTTGTAAAAATATTCTTCGTAATATAATATAATATAAATACACGGAATTTACATATCGGTATCAATTTCATAACAATATAGTATGTAAATCTTTTGTTAGAATAATATACTTACTACAAATTCGGCCTCCGGTATTCCTGCGTACGACTTTTTCTCTTTATCCAGCCCAACGTCCGCTTTATTTTCACCGTCTTCCATCTTGAATTACCATATAAATTTTCATGACATACAACAGGTTTACATGAAGATTCCTAATATAATACGAACCTCCATTTTAGTTACAAATTTAACGAATAAATAATCATAGAGTATTTTATATATTATATTCAGTATAAAAGTTTATTAACAAATAGAAGTTAAATATAGTCTTCTGTAAAATATACATATACATATATACAAGTATGCGTTACACACATCTAAATCGAAGCCGAGGGCAAAGAGATGGTGCCCTCTTCTGGTAAGCTGAGATATAAGATACTATCTATGTATTACTTATTCTATGTTGGTAGTAATTACAAATTCCATGTATGTACACACAAAATTGGAGTAAAGAATTTTCCGATAAAAAAGGTAAGTAACATACGAAGCATTGATAAGTAGCATAGACACTCGCAAAACAAAATTTTCAAAGAACAACAAAATGCATAAGATAAAATAAATGTATATATAAATAGGGTCGTTAATATTAGTCTGTCATGATAAAAATATACGTTATCAAATTACGATAAGTTTTCGAACATTATATTGTAAATAAGTATCGCGTATAATTGAAACAGCGGGAAACAAGCGAATGAGTACTAGAAATATAGGTGTTACTTTCGATCACGTGTTACAGAAGTATTGAATCGCAATTAATTTCCGATAAAGATAACAATTATCTTTAGGAAGCATTGGAAGCCACATGGGATTGGTTATATCGAACTTTGTTCCGTAGACGTTTGCATGTTTTATATTAATTACGAATTATTACTTTAATCGTAAAAATTTCCTTCTTTTGTATGTAAGCTACGTGTAAATTGGCAGCAATCTGAAGTAACTTTACTTAGATATTCAATAATATTCATGACATGGACAAAATATATTCTAAGAACTTTTTATTCTATATTTTATTATCAGTACGTTCTGATCGTTAAATATCTTTTTCCTAATAAATGACGAGTCAAACACCAGTGAATATATAAAAAAAAGAACTACAAACCACGATGAACACTCACTTTTGGCTTCCTTTTTAAAAATATGAAACTTAAAGTAGGAAATATAACAATTATGTGTACAATAATTTTTTTATTTCCACTCCATGCATATGTAAAGAGATTTTCTCAAGAAAACTTAAAGATGTTTTTATTGCTACATGGAAGATTATCTTCTCATTTCTCGTACAACACCAAAAATTTTCGTCCTTTTCGTAGCTGTTTTTTTCTGGCCCGTTCTTCTAACTTGGCCGGGTAGAATCTAAATTACCCGTGCACCCGCACCCCGTATATCAAAGCACGGACAGACAAACCGACACTACATGTACGATTGACGCGGGGCGCATTCCTCCTCTTTGATACACTTTATTGGTCTAATAGAGCCGAATTGTTGCCGTATCGTGTAAAGCAGGGTAAGCATCGAGCTAGTCGTCTAGACATCTTACAAGAAGCTTCTCCTTTTGTACGATAATCATGTTGCATGTAAAACAAACGATGGACCACGAGCACGTGTGAATTAGGTCGCACTTGATACACATCGGCAAAACATGGTTTTCCGTAATCACTTTGTTAATAAATCTTCGTTGAACAAAGTAGAAAAGTAAATATTTCTTTAAAATCGTCGCTCCTACTAGGAAATTATATTAAGATATTTTTTGTTTCAAGATTCACATCTGTTGTTTCTAGTTTTGAGAATTATAATTTATCACTCCGCTTTTCGAAAAGAAACAAACACGACAGGAGATCACGTGAAATTATTTTGTAATTTCATCCTCTTAATCCCTCGATTTTGTATTATCGTTTACCAATTTTATCGCAATCTTCGGATCATCGAGACAATGTTTTGCTCTTGATCGAGCTAAATTGGTTCTAATCGCGTCGCGAAGTAACGAGGTCTATATCTACAGTTGCAGAATAATGTCAACTTTCTCGTTGAGCACGAGCGTAGGATTAGCAGGCTAGGACAGATTAAGGATGTAACATTTGTTGTAGGCGCATAGATCACGATGATGACCCGTAACGAGTACGTGTCGAGCGACAGGGCGATCATATGGGTACGGGGTACACCAAACAGGAGTGATCCGAGTGAGCGAGTGACTGAGTGAGTTGGAGGTCGGAGGAGTATATTGGCCATTTCCGCAGGAAGCCCTAGGTAACCTGTAACCGCCATTGAGGTTGGAACTAACGTGCCACAGATCGCTGTCGTTTCATAACAAACTGTTCTGAATTCGCTTGCTTATAATCTCGTCGCGTTAATCGATTGGTCTTTGCTTTCCAATGTAGAACCTGAATCTTTCCTTCGAGTTTTCAATTCTTCCGTTTGACGGCGACAACGTACCTTGTAAAGTCTCAGTTAGAATATCAAAGTACGTAACATCGATACTTCCTTCTGAGTAGGCCAAGTATCGTATCTCGTTGTCGATCGTGCTCTTTTACACAGTACTTTTACTACTTACTTTTAAACAGTAGATGACCAAGAAATAGCTTGAGACTAATGGACGTCGACGAAGAAAAATAATCGTACTTCTTTCAAATATGCTAGATATTACATACTTTGTTTCGTTTGCGTTACATGACGTACCTAAGGAAAGAATTTCAGCGACTTCTGGAACCGCTGCTGCCAAGGAACGGGCAAAAAGATGAAGAGAACGAAGAGGAGTGACAACGACTGCGATATTATAAATTACCACATAAAATACAGTACAATGTAGTACACGAAATTTTGCATTCATCTATGAACTGAAGGGGTTTCTTTCATCCTTTCATGTTCGATGTGGCACAATGTTTACAAGACCCAGCGTAAATGCGAACGAAGGTGAATCGAAGTCCTCTGCGATCGAATAGATATGCGTACGCGTCGAAGAATGGATCACTTTCGGGTCATCGAAAAGAAAAGCCCAATGCGTCGCTCCGTGACTGGCAATGGTAATACAACATAATACACAGGCTGACTCTTGTCATCCGCAGATTTAATCTGTCGAAATGACTCATCGTTTTGACTTGGCTACGATGAACAAAGACTGAGAAACAACATTGGACAAAACAAGCGCCTGTTTATCCATTAAAGAAAATTACATTGTTGTATAACGATAATTACAAGGAAAATTTGTATTTTTTTTTTTTTTTTTTTTTTTT